GGCAGCCACAGCTTCTCTGGGCAACCTGTTCCAGTGTTTCACCACCCTCACGGAATTTCTTCCTAATATCTAATCTAAATCTGCCCTCTTTTAGTTTAGAGCTATTCCCCCTTGTCCTATCACTACACACCCTTGCGAAACGTCCCTCTCCATCCTTCCTGTAGGCCCCCTTCAGGTACTGGAAGACTGCTAGAAGGTCAGCCCGGAGCTTTCTCTTCTGCAGGCTGAACAGCCCCGACTCCCTCAGCCTGTCCTTCTCGGAGAGGTACTCCAGCCCTCTGAACATCTTCGTGGCCCTCCTCTGGACCCGCTCCAACACATCCATGTCCTTCTAATGTTGGGAGCTCGAGAGCTGGACGCAGTACTCCAGGTGGGGTCTCAGGAGAGCGGAGTAAAGGGGCAGAATCCCCTCCCTCGATCTGCTGGCCATGCTTCTCTTCATGCAGCCCAGGATGTGGTTGGCTTTCTGGGCTGCAAGTGCACATTGCCGGCTCATGTTGAGCTTCTCATCCACCAGTATCCCCAGGTCCTTCTCCTCAGAGCTGCTCTCGAGCCACTCTCCACCCAGCCTGTACTTGTGTTTGGGATTGCCCCGACCTCGCACTTGGCCTTGCTGAACGTCATGCGGTTCACGCAGGGCCACCTCTCCAGCCTGTCAAGGTCCCTCTGATGGTGAGGAAGAAGGAGGACCCAGGGAACTACAGGCCGGTCAGCCTCACCTCTGTCCCTGGAAAGGTGACAGAACAGTTCATTCTGGATGTCATCTCTAAGCAAGTGGAGGGAAAAAAGGTTATCAGGAGTAGTAAGCATGGATTCACCAAGGGAAAGTCATGTTTGACCAATCTGATAGCTTTCTATGATGGTATGACCAGCTGGGTAGATAAGGGGGGAGCAGTGTATGTTGTCTGCCTTGACTTCAGCAAGGCATTTGATGCTGTCTCCCATAACATCCTCATTGGGAAGCTCGGGAATTGTGGGCTGGATGAGTGGACAATGAGGTCGATTGAGAACTGGCTGAATGGCAGAGCTCAGAGAGTTGTCATCAGCGGCGCTGAGTCTGGTTGGAGGCCGGTAACTAGTGGTATCCCCAGGGGTCAGTACTGGACCCAGTCTTGTTCAGTTTATTCATCAGTGACCTGGATAAAGGGACAGAGTGTACCCTCAGCAAGTTTGGTGATGACACCAAACTGGGAGGAGTGGTGGATACACCGGAAGGCTGTGCTGCCATTCATGAGACCTGGACAGGCTGAGGAGTTGGGCAGAGAGGAACCTGATGAGGTTCAACAAGGGCAAGTGCAGGGTCCTGCACCTGGGGACGAACAACCTCATGCACCAGTACAGGCTTGGGGCGGAGCTGCTGCAGAGCAGCTCTGTGGAGAGGGACCTGGGTGTCCTGGTGGATGACAGGTTGAGCATGAGCCAGCAGTGTGCCCTGGCTGCCAAGAAGGCCAATAGGATCCTGGGGTGTATTAAGAAAAGTGTGGCCAGCAGGTCAAGAGAGGTACTCCTCCCCCTCTACTCTGCCCTAGCGAGGCCCCATCTGGAGTACTGCATCCAGTTCTGGGCTCCCCACTTCAAGAAAGATGAGGAGCTACTGGAGAGAGTCCAGAGGAAAGCTACAAGCATGATGAGGGGAATGGAGCATCTCTCCCATGAGGAAAGACTGAGGGAGCTGGGCTTGTTTAGCCTGGAGGAGGCTGAGGGGAGACCTTATAAATATCTGAAGGGTGGGTGTCAAGCGGATGGGGCCAGACTCTTTTCAGTGGTGCCCAGCAACAGGACGAGGGGCAGTGGGCACAAACTGAATCATAGGAGGTTCTGTCTGAACATGAGGAAGAACTTCTTCACTCTGAGGGTGACAGAGCCCTGGAACAGGCTGCCTGGGGAGGTTGTGGAGTCTCCTTCTCTGGAGATACTCAAAACCCACATGGACATGGTCCTGTGCAACCTTCTCTAGGTGACCCTGCTTCGGCAGGGGGGTTGGCCTAGATGATCCCCAAAGGTCCCTTGGAACCCCTGCCATTCTGTGATCCTGTGACCTCTCAAGAAAGCTGAAATTGAAGAATGTCTCAGGTCCTACTCTTGATTGTGGCTGATGTGAAAGTTGCCTGTCCCTGTGTAACGAGTATTTCATTCACTCCTGATCAGTGCACCTTTAGAGAAAGGTTTCTGTTCTTGATAGCTGTACTTCAAAATTGATGAAGATACACATAGCATGTAGAAATCACTTTTTTTATAGGAACTTCATTTTCAGAGCCAGTATGCTAGCCTTAAAAACAAAAAGCAACCTGCACAATTTTTGATTTGTAGCCTGTGGGCTTGGAGTCCTTAATTTAGTATTTCTGCAATATGATTGTGTGGTGGGTTGACCCTAGCTGAACACTAGGTGTCCACCAAGCTGCTCTATCACTCCCACTCCTCAGCTGGACTGCAGGGGGGGATAATACGACTACCAGCTTGTGGGTTGAGGTAAAGACAGGGAGAGATCACTCACCAGTTACCGTCATGGACAAAATAGACTCAACTTAAGGAATTTAATTTATCGCCAAGCAAATGGGAGCAGGATAATGAGAGATAAAGATTAAAGACACCTTCTCCCCACCTCTTTTTTTGTCTTGGGCTTAACTTAACTCCTGAATTCTCTACCTCCTCCCCCCAAGTGGCACAGGGGGACAGGGAATGGGGGTTGTGGTCATTTTGTCATGCATTGTCTCTGCCGCTCATTCCTCCTCACACTGTGCACCTATGCTAGCAGGGGATCCCTCCCACGGGAGACAGTCATCCATGAACTACTCCAACGTGGGCCCTTCCAATGGACTACCGTTCTTCATGAGCATCTCCAGCATGGGTCCCTTCCACAGGGTGCAGTCCTTCAGGAACAGGCTGCTCCACCCAGGGGCCACCCCCGGGCGGCACGCCCCTGCCAGCAAACCTGCTCCGGCATGGGTTCCTCTCTCCACAGGGCCACAGGTCCTGCCAGGAGTCTGCTCCAGTGTGGCCTTCCCACAGGGTCACAGAGTCCTTAGAGCATCCAGCTGCTCCAATGTGGGGTCTTCCACGGGCTGCAGGTGGATACCTGCTCCACCGTGGACCTCCATGGGCTGCAGGAGGACAGCCTGCCTCACCATGGTCTGCTCCACGGGCTGCAGGGGAAGCTCTGCTCTGGTGCCTGGAGCAGCTTCTCCCCCTCGTTCTTCACTGACCTTGCTGTCTGCAGAGTTGTTTCTCTCTTGTATTCTCACTCCTGTTTCCTGCTGCAAATGACATTACACGGTTGGGTTTTTTTTCTTCTTACGTTAGCCCAGAAGTGTTACGACCATCACTGATGGGCTCAGCCTTGGCCA